GAGAGAGTTAACAGCATGGATGTCTGCAGGTCACAGATGTCAGACATGGTGGTGTTTGCTTCATGAAAATGCATCGCTTTTACACGAATAGCTAAATTGAACTGTAGAATATATTGTCCTCTGTGGTTAAATGTGGTAAAAAGAAGATTAGTGGACAGATGAACACTATAGAGGGAAAAGAAATTGTTTTATCTACCTCAGCACTAGTATCTTGTTACTTCAAATGGGAACATTTTGAAAAACGACCCAAGGGCTTAAACATCGCCCTTCTGAACTCTGCAGCTTCATGTGCACTGACTCAGACAAAAGACACGATATATCAGACAGGGCACCCAAACCAGACTGAGCTCTCACTTCACACCAGTGCCAGAGCCGGAGCCAGTGTGCAGAGGTGGTTGAGTAGTTGCTCTGCAACTTGTTCGCGTTGTTGTCATTTACTGATAAGATAGGAACACTATTAACGGACATGGCTAGGGGAAGTGTGCAGTGCTGATAAACGTGAGAGGAGCCTCAATATATTCTATAGATGGAGGCCTGTGTTTGTAGGGAGAAAGTTACTATTTAGTGAGCCTGTGCAAAATGTTAGACACTGATTTTTACTGTTGTCTACTTTGATGTTCACAACAAATAGGGTGACCAGCTTGTCCTGGTTTGCCTAGGACTTGCCCTGTTTCGGCATTGAAAGTCCCATGCCCCATGAAACCCCAGGCAAACTGGAATGGTTGGTCAACCCAGAGCAAAACGCAGTATGTTTGTTGTCTTCATTTTACAGATGAGAAGACTGAACTATAGAAATGTAAACAACTCAGCGGGAAAATTGCAGAGCATAATTAAACACAGATCATCTGACTCTAAGCGCCATATTCCCTTTTCTTCAACACATCGGATACACTAGGCTTATTTTTACTGTCTGTCTGTCTACCTGTCTATTAGTCTATATTTGGATCTATTTGGGAAAGCTAACTTTATATTATGGGATAGGAAGCCTTGTAAAGCATGATTTAACCAAAGAGCAAATGTCATAGACCTGTGTCTCAGTTTTCTCATTGTAAAAAAAGGTAATAATAGCATTTATATCATAGACTTCTATTCAGGATTAAATGACTTAATCTGTATCAAACATCTAGAAACATGCATTGCACATTATTTCATCAATAGTGGACTATCATCTATACTGAAACCTTTGTTTATTGCCACATTCATCTGGCCATTTTGCTAAAGAGATTCTTTGCGGTTCGGCTGAAGCTCCACTAGGTTTGCAAAGTGACTAGAAGAGACCATCTGAGGTCAGTATCCATCAGCCGGACAACCTTCCTTAGCTACAGACTATCTTGCCAAGTTTTCAAGATTTTCATGGAGGAATTATAACCTCATCTTAAAACAAAAACAACAGCAACAAACTTTACATTTTGCATGTAACCCATTTTCTCTATTGTTCAACAAGCAATCTTCTCTTTAGGGAGATGTGACAGACAGTCAACATCTCCCCACAGCCATTTTCATATACAGTGAATCCTGTGAGAGACCGAACTCGATGACACTGCCTTGTTTTTCAGGATCTCGCAAGTTTTCTGCTTTTGACAGGGTGCAATCTTACCACTTTTCTGTTGCCTGTTTTAGTGGAAAATTTTTGAGTTTTCCTTCTCTGACAGGTTTATGCCTTACACAGGTCCCGGCTTTTGCAGGTTTTACAGTACTTGGATGTAGTTGTTTCATCTATTGCACTTGGCTACAATTGTCACGTTTCTTCTTTTGTGCTTTCTCTTCTAAGATTCCTCCTGAAGTTAGGTTTCTATGGCTTTCGTTGGAACTGTGGAGAGTTTATTTCATAGTGTGATTCCAGATGACCCATTCAACACAAAGAAGTGCTTCCAGAAGAGGTAGAACCTGATAGTCAAGAGGGAGGGCTGTGGATCCAAATCCTGATACTACATTGACCAACCACATGATTTGTGGCAACTTATTGCTCTTCTCTAAGCTTGAAGTTCCTCATCTGTTAAATATAGCGTGATGATGAAATCTAAGTAAGGTAATGCATACAGGTGGTTTAGAATAACACTAGGAAGATTCTATAAAGCTTAATTGTTGTTATTGTCATCCAAAAAGTTATACTGTTGAAATTCAAAAGATTTTACTTGTGGGAAATCTCTAAGTCCTAAGGTTATTTGGAGTAGGCTGTGAGCTATCTGTGTAATAACCCCACTATGAACCATTCTTTGGTAAAATCGCTGAAATTAATAACTAATTACACTGGCTAGATATCCATTTAATTGCCTTCACCATCTATGACCATCTTGGAGTAGGTAGGGAAAATGAAAAAGATTTCAGGTTAATAGAATTTTGAGTAAGTATGTATAATGCAACTGTGGATAGCTACTTCAACACATTTATTAAGTGTATATGGGCTAGGGGTACAAGTGAGGCGTAGAATATTTGAAATAATAGTAGTGCTAAAGTTTAATGTCTTAATATCCTCTATTGAATATGTATCCCCAGGAGGAGACAGAAAAGAGCTCTATGTCAAGGGTCTTGGGATACACGAAATAAGGTAAGTTCACTCAGAATGGTTATTTTTGTGCATCATAAATGTCTTGTAAAGTCAGTCCATTTTGCAGTTAACAATCTTTTTTTTTTCTTCTTTCAATGACCTGGCCAAGTAGTTGCCTGTAATTCAGGTGACAGCTATTTGAGGAAATAGTTATTTTCTACACTACTTTCCTTTTATCAATACCCTTTGGGACTAAGTTTGTTTCACATTAACGTAAATAAAGGAGCCATTCCACCAACAACATGATGATCGACATTGGCATGAACTGGGGAGGCAGTATGGCACAGTGGGTCACGGACGGGCTCTGCAGTCAGACACACTGTCTTCACATCCCAGCTCTGCTACTTTATTAGGTGTGAACCTTGGCAAGTTGCTGAGTCCCTCAGTTTCCTCTTCTGTAAAAGGGGCATAATAATATTTGTTATGTCATAAGGTTATTGTGAGGATTAAATTAAATTCAACTGCATGAAAGACCCTGAAACAGATCAAACACATAAAAGGACACAATGCATGCTATTTGTTATTATTACTACATTTGAATTAATTTATTAATTAATGGATGCTCAAGATAGTTATACAACTAAAGAACTATCCTATGGTTGTAGGAGCCTGAGAAAGCATAAAATTTTCCTCCTCACCCTACCTTGCTCCTGCCCCTTATTGTTTGATTAAAATAATACTATCAGTCAAATAGAGCCCTGGTGGTGCAGTGTTTAAGAGATTGGCTGCTAATCAAAAGGTTGGCAGTTCGGATCCACCAGCTACACCTTGGAAATCCTATGGGGCAGTTCTACTCTGTCCTATAGGGTCGCTATAAGTTAGAATTGACTTGACAGCAATGGGTTTGGTTTTTGTTTTGGTTTATTGGTCAAATATCTCTCTTTAGCACAAATTTGGTTGTACATAATTTTACAATAAAACATTTTCCCCAAATTCTATCCAAATTGCATCAGTTTCTCTTCAATTTAATTATTTGCAATTGAATTCTTCCTGTCCTAAAAGTTAAAAATTAGAGTTTCTGACAATCCAATACATGTGCTTCAGACTTGTTAATCTATCAGCTTAAGTTTTTTTAATTAAATAGTGCTCTTTGCAAAAAAGAACAAAAAAAATTTTTCCCTAACTAATTCATGGGATGATTCTTTCAACTGCAAAGAGTCAAGAAGCTTTGCCTTGTTTTGTCTGCCACCCTAGGAGGCAATGAAATGGTGCTCTGGTTACATATAACTTTTGGGTCCCCTTCCTCCTTAGCAGTTGACCACTTAATCCAGTTCGAAGCCAAATTTGTTATCATAAATTTTAAGAGAGGAAAGGAACTTTGCAACTTTCTACATTAGCTATCCAACATTTTCAGGATCCTTTTTGTTCTTGTCGTTAGTTGTCACTGAGTTGGCTCCAACTCATGGAGACCTTATGTATAACATAACAGACGTGTAACAGGACAAAATGTTGTCTGGTCCTGTGCCATCTCTTGATTGTTACTGGAGAAAATTAGATAGTAAGCTGGACTTTGAAAGATCAAGAAGTCAGAACTTCTTGATTCTTTTGTTAAGGCAGGCTATATATGTATCAATGACACTTGAACTCTCTTGTTGCAAACACCAAAACCATTATAAATTTCCAACTATCCACCAAAGGACATTTCTCTCCTCTTTCTCTCTTCCCCTCCTTTCCCTTCTTCCCCCTTTTCTTCCCTTCCCACCCCTCTCTCTCTCCTTCTTCTTTCTTTCTCCCTCTTCCCCCTCTCTTTCCTGTAGTCTTTCTATACATATGGGTGGGCTATGTGACTTGGTTAGAGTGGAGAAGATTAATGATTGTATAACATCATCTTGAAAGTGAATGACAGCTTGTTTTTTAATTTTTTTCTTGTATTCAGAGTTGCTTATTTTTCAAGCCATATCACTGTATAATTTAAAAATATTTATTAAGGCATTCATTCAACAGGCATTAATGGGTACTCACTATGGGCAAATACTATACTAGACATTCTAATTGTTGTTAGCTGCCATTGATTTAGCCCGACTCATGGTGACCCCATACACAAAGATACTTTATATAAAAATGAATAAATAATTGTTTTCATCAAAATAGCCTAATATTGGGAGATGAAGCTACATATCTAAACAGGTAATTCATAACACAATATGGCAAGTGCTAATCTAGATTATGCTTGGGTTGCATCTCACACAGAGTCCTGCAAATCAAGAATATGATTTCTAACAGAAGTTCAGTACAATGAAGGAAATATGTTATGCAATTAATCTCAGTGAGAATTTGACCTATATCATGGTTGAATTGAGAAGAGCAGATTTATGTTTTGGGTGTCTATTTTAGCTGCTGAAATGAAGCACATTATTAAAATCCTCTGCTGTTTGTCTTTCTAGACAGCCACCAACTACAGAAGTCCCACCTCAACCAATCAACCCTTGGATGGTGCAAGAGAGGATATTTATGTCAACTACCCAGCCTTCCCTCGTAAACCAAAGATTAGAGCCTAAGCTTTTCCTTGATCTGAGAAAATTAACAATGACTATTATGAACATAAGATCTTCGGACAATCTCTTCTGTTACCCAGGGTCTACCTTAGATATAGGTTGACTGAATTTATTTCATTTGATAGGGAAAATGTTGCGTTACCTAGAAAACATTTTTAATAGAAATGTTTCAGAAAACCTGACTCTAATTAACTTATAAATAAGAGGGAACTTACTGAATGATGTAATGGAACCACCTAGGAGCAGATCTAGCTTCAGGCAAGGCTTATTTACTAGAGCTTAAATGCTGTGTCTAGAATTCAGTATGAGCATAAGCTGGTTTCTGAATCCACTTCTTTGTGTTGGTCTTACTCTCAGTATACTCTACCTTTGTGTTTGTGTTTCCAAGATGGGTGCTGATAACTTATGGCGATCCATACATCCTCGTTTCTATCTGCTAGAAAGTTTGTTTCTCTGACAGAACAAACAAATTGGGTTATTTATCCATCATTAAACCAGCATCATGACCAGAAAGGATATATTGGTTTAAGTCATTTAGGGGTTTACTTCTAGAGCTGGGAGTAAGGCCAAACTACACTACTGAGAAATTCCAGATATTGGAAAGGGGAGACTAGAAGTTGGGGAGGTGATAAATGAATGTTGACTGCAGTGATATTCCAAGATAGCTCTTGTTCACCAACTAAAAAGTGAACATGGGGGTGGATCTAGATTAGTGTAGTCTCTCCCATTTCTAGAATCTACTAGAAGAGTACTTGAAAGTAGAATAAATGAGTGGTCAAGACGAAGATAAATGTGACAGGGAAATCTCTTCCCTTTCTATTCATAAACAAATTTATCTCTGATTCTATCTAGAATTCTTGCCAGAATGTCCAGCCCAGATTTATGAGTGGATGTAGTAGATGGTCTGATAATAACTTCATATTTTTGACATTGAATTTTTTTTGAGAATTACTTTTTAATATACAAATTATCTTAAAAGCAATCAAGTGCTTAGGCCTTTTAAAAATAATCATGTGAAACCTGAATACAAGAAAAAGAAGGATAATAGGAGGTGGGGATATAAGGTAGTGGGGTAGAAAATTGAGGGAAAAAGAACATTGGAAGGGTACAGGAAGCAAGATAAGGCATCAAAGAATCCAAAGATACAGAGAAACTTCTCCTGCTTCACAAGTTGGCAGACAATCCTATTGACGTCATGAAATTCAAAGCATTTAGAGGCATACCTGGTATTGTCCAAATTCTAGATGGAAGCAAACAATGAAAAGCATTTGTGGGACTAAATAAAACTACCATGGTCACCTTGAAACCACAATGGTCATTACCAAATGTAGTGATTATACATCTCTAAAAAATTAATTACTCATTTTTAAAAAAGCTGCATTTAAATATCAAAGTTACAGACTTCTCACAGTAATCTTAAGTGAGACAAAATCAATTTCTCATGTTGACTAGACAGATTCTAGGTTCTAATTTATTATTTTGAGCAAACCAGTGAATATTTTTATGACTTTAGCTTTAAATAGCACACATGCCACACAGATGGTGCGTATATTCTATGAATTATGGAAATTGTGAGTGGCCCGACCTGTTTGAGAAGCTGGAAAAATGACCATTTCCCAGTTGACTTATGCATATGCAAGAAGAGTGAACAACTCTCATTTTTGTTATCTTTACCAGAAGACCCTACATCTGGATTTATGACGTGTTTCCACAAAGATGTTAGTGTAACAGAGTTGACAGAGAAGTTTACAAGAAAATGGTCTACTGTATTGTTAACTGCATCAGACCTATCAAGTATTACATTGCTGTGCCTGTCAGCTTGCACAGTGAAGCAAGCTTAAAGAAACTTGTTGTTGTTAGGTGCTGTTGGGTGGGTTTTGACTCATAGTGATGCCATGTGACAGAGTAGAACTGCCCCATAGGGTTTTCTAGGCTGTAATCTTTACACGAGTAGATTACCGGTTCTTTCTCCCCTGGAGCCAACCTTTTGTGTTCAAACCACCAAAATTTTTGGTTAGCAGAGCGCTTAACCATTGCACCACCAGGGTTTAGCATCATTTAAAGGGCAAACTTTTTTTTTTCCCCTAAATGTTAAAGACAGTCAAAATATTACTTTCCAGAAGATTCTGATAACTAAATTCCCAGTGACTAATATAGGTGATTGCAATATGTGGAAATGTAAATCCTATTTCAGCAGAGAAAATGACTATTGGGGGTGTGAACAGTACAGCCAGATAGTGTTGTCCTGGTGACTTTTATTCATGGTTTCGTGGTAGACTTCTGTGGTACATCACTTAACGTTCATAAACCCTCCAGAACATTTAGAACTTGTCTTTCCATGGGTACTTTAAATTTATTTAAGAAAAATCTCTCACTTAAAAATGTATGAAAACTACCTACTCTGTTTCTTCTCTATCTGTCTTTCCTCTGCAGAGCCCAAGGTGTTTTTCAGTGCTTGGCAAACCTCCTAAGTTCTGTTGAAAATTCTCTGACCTCCCCTGGTGTTCCCATAACTCGGACTGCTACTAGCCTGATGAAATTCAGTTCATTCATTTCCTTCCTCTCGAGGTCTCCACTGAATAAAGCACTTGCATTTTAGCCTCTTTAATGTTATACATTGGAGTCCCTGGGTGGTGCAAACAGTTAATGTTCTCGACTGCTAACTGAAAGGTAGGAGGTTCAAGTCTACCCAGAGCCACCTCGAAAGAAAAGCCTGGCAATCTACTTCCAAAAAAATCAGTCACTGAAAATCCTACAGAGCACAGTTGTACTCTGACATACATGAGGTTGTCATGAGTCAGAGTCAACTTGATGACAATTGATTTATTTTTTAACATTATACATTTATTCACTAGAGTTTTGGAATTCTACTTACTATATGTTTTGTTTTCTCCTAATCTGTTGTACCAACTATCCTAGTTGTTGTTAAGCAAACAGATCAAAACAGGTCCACAGAATTAAAGACCAGAATTACAATAAATTATGTATTAAATCTTTTGGAAAGGTGCTGCTTAGGAGGCAATATGTTTCCTAAGATTCTTTTTTATGTATGCAAGTTAATGTGGATATGCAATACAACCTTAAATAAAAATCTGTGCTTCCTTTGAATGCCTTTATTTTAATATTTACATTAAAGGGATTTGCTGTGTGATGACAAGGTAGAGGGGAGCTGATTAAATGTCATAGCTGGAGAACGTGGTTTTGTCAGAGCCAGAATGCATCTTATTAACCTATGATGACTGTGGGTTGACTATGTGTTTCATCAGAGAGACCTTCAAACGTTATTCAATGGCCTTTATGTACTCAGAGGAAATAGAATAGACATTTCATTAGCTTGTCATCATGTTTACGGATGGGAGACAGGTGGATGAAGACTATAATTCTCACTTAGTGAAAACTCAAATTTGTAGACTGTTTTGAGTAATTCCTTTTATTTCCAAAAACACTGTGCATACAAATTTAAAATACATTGACTGTCAATTTACAAGATAAAGTAAGATAAACATAATTTTATTTTATACTTTTATAAATACTTTTATCATAAATATCCAAGTTATGCTGATTTATATAGAACTGTATTAACTAAAAATTAAATCTCAATTTACAGTAATTTTCCCCAAATTGGTAGGGTCCACTTTGAAATTAGAAATCAGTGTAATCAAAATGCTTCTCTTTGACTTATAATAATGTGCTCTATTTTGTGCTGCTTTTATAAAATTTCAGCTGAAGATAATGAAGAATAAAGATGCTTATAAAGCTTAAGTAGAGATGCTAAACTGAGTACAAAGTTTAGCTTCTTTCCACACAGTGATAAGAAAATATCTTTGACAAATATAAAACAATACAAACATGTAGCAGCATCATTGTTTGATCATTACAATGATCAGTAGTTTGGCCATTATTAAGACGTAATGTCTAGGAAATATAGATGCTTACATTCACGCTTTTGCATAAATTAGTATATTTTTTCATTGGGCTGTTCATTGGAATTATTCTAGTTGATTCTCTGCTCTCTTGAACATTTATCTGAAAAACAAAAACAAATATATTTTTTAAAACGTCTCTATTGCTAATGAGCCAATAGGCAGAACTGTGGCATTTAGAATTAACTGCAATGCTTTCTAAAGAAATTTTATAAATGTTCAAGACTGGTTTACATATCTATTTTCCAGATTCAAAGCACTAACTATTGTGTAAGATTTTGTAAAAAAAGATATAATTTTGGGCTATGGGTGAGAAACGTCTGGGATGGTTCTGGTTTATGCCTGTTGTCCCTGTTTGAATGATAAATTGCATGGTCACCGTATTTAGAATGTGCTGTCTGATTTTAGTCTGCAATTTTGATACTTGTTTTGTGTAGAGTATGTAAATGTTTCCAGAGTCCTTTATGATACCTAAATATATATACCTGGGGCCCTGATGGCACAGTGATTAAGTGCTACGGCTGCTAACCAAAAGGCTAGCAGTTCAAATCCACCAGCTGCTTCTTGGAAACCCTATGGGGCAGTTCTACTTTGTCGTGTAGGGTCGCTATGAGCCGGAATCGACCTGATGGCAGTAAGTTTGGTTTTTATGATACCTGAACATATTGCAGGTATATCCAAAGTATATCCGAGATAGTTTTTTAAATAAATTGGTGAGTAAATGTATAAATACGAGTTAGTATCTATGTCAGCACTCTCAATTGGTAGTCTTGGAATAATGGACAATAATTCATTTTCTAATAGTTCATTTTTAACAATGCTATTGAGATTGAATTTAAATATCAGTTGTCACCAATCCTCCAACTAATAGATACATTGCATATTTTTTCTAGATTTTATACTTTAACATTACTCACGTCTATTGATTTTTAAAACTGCAACTTATGTCCAGACATAGGTATACCTTTACATGAAACATCAATTCTTTTGTAACATGCTACTTCCAAAATTCTAAGTCAGAAATTGACTTTTGTCCACTTGTTATGGAGAACTGCTAATTAAGATGCCATAAAATTATACTGGCTATCATTTGACCTGTAGAAACCAATATTATTAAAGGGAGAAAGCAGTAGATTTGCAGTCTAAATCAGCGAATAAGTAAAGACTCTTCCTGGGATAAATGTGCATGAATTAAAAATATCAGCATCAATTCTCCAAAACTGTAAAGAGTAATGCCTTTTGTTGTATTGCCAAATCTCATTTGTAAGACATGAAATTTGAGAACAAGTTCTGATAACTGACTTTCTTCACTCCTCAAAATTTAAATAATCTCAACTGGATTTATATTTTTCTGAAAATTCATAAGATGATCTACTTACTCAATCACCTATTCATTATAACCTTTATCCCAGACAGTCAAAAGTACTTAGTGACTAAGACCATTATTCTTCAGTCAGCTGATTGGTGAGACTCTGGGCTTTCCAATTTACTCTACTTTTATTACATTTTCTTCATAACAAGCTTTGGATGTGACTTCAGTTGAGTTGATTTACCCTCCTTTTGTTTTTTATCATATGAAATTCA